AACACCAGCGGTACTCTAATCAGGGCTCGAAATTCATTTTTGGGAACAGGTGCACTGACATGATGCATGCACCCAACCTAAAAATTGGGTGCACAAAAATATTTTAGGTGCACCATATTTAAGATAAAATAAGTAAAATGTCAGCAAAAACTATAACTATGTTTCATTTCAAGAAAAGTACTATAATAATGATTGTATTATTTTTTCTTACACTTAGATGTTAAGAATATGCTGTAACTACAGTAACTATACATTTAACATCTTTACATATGTTTAACCTAAGAAAATATTTGGGTGCACTGGTGCACCCACAGAGAAAAACTGGGTGCACAACTGCAAATTTGGGTGCACTAAAGTGCACATGCACCCAGTATTTCAAGCCCTGCTAATTGTATACAAAGCAGATCTATCTAACAACATACCTACATGTACATGCAACTTAGATCGGTAATGGTTGGAAAATAAAGCTGCTGGTACAAGCAGAAGCCCAGATATGGCCATCTGCCTCCGTATGTCAGAGAAAATCACCCTGCCATACACACACTAGACCTCATGTACACCACACAGCCAGGTACTGGTTTGGAAACATGTCTGGAACTGACACAGAGCGTGAAAATTGAAGACCATGTCAGCAATAAGACACGGGTGAATGTAATCACAACAGGGCCTGCTCCCTAAATTAAAGGCAGGACCAGTAGCTTGTGTCCAATCCCCCGGCTGTGCAGGGATGATAGCCTGCTGCCTCTGTGCTGTGTGTTTAGGAGACATGAAGCCCCAGTAGTATTTATCTGTCAGTACTGAACTGGCAGTCTGCATCTATCAAGTACACCTGATAATTTACTGCCTTCAGCAACATTCTCATCATGGTGCTTCTGGGACCTGCAGTAGACAGGGAAGAGGTGCAGTACAGATAGACCCTGTTCATATTTCGCTGTTTCAACTGGTTTTTTATTTAACCTGATGTGAACGCAAATTAACTGTTTTTTTAGGGGTTTGAATCCGATTTAAAAAAAACGCCTCGGGAGGTGTTTTGTTTTAGGGGTTTTTCCACTGAAAAACCTGGTCTGAACACTGAAGGTTTATTGAACCGGGTTTTGCCTCATAATTCTGGGGTCACGGGGTCAGCATCCTGGCCGTGTGTGACCTCCAAGCTTTTTTGATCGTGTTGTTTTGACCAATTTGAGTTCGTTTCCACTGTTTTTCCACGGTTTCTCTTCATTTTGCGATGGAATCAGCATACACAACCTGGCCGGCTGACGAGACGCTCCTGTTACTTATTTTTGGACAGCAGGAGTCGCCGAATTCGAAAAAGCTGGTGGGGGGGGGCTCTACCGAAAAAAAATGTTGGATGAGCCTGGTCTTTTGAAGATGAAGGATTAGTGCTGCCTGCAGTAATTAGATAAAGAACCTGAAGACGGCATACAAGAAGGCTAAGGACAACGATCGGAAGAGCGGGAGGAACGGTTATGCAAATTGCAGTCATGGCCGATTAATTGGATATTCACCGGACAGGATTTTTGCAAAACCGGTTACGAAAAGTCTGGTATGAACGCTAAGGGTTTTAGCCGGGTTTTCCTCCGCTAATTATTTAACGGTTTCAACCGGTCTTTAAAAGTCTGGTATGAACAGGATGAGAGACCTCCACATTTCCCAGTACATTCACCTAAATCCAAAATGTAACGGCCTTTCAAAAATGAAACACCGCCCATTACTAATGTTGACTGTACAATGTATTTCTGTTGAATTTGTGACCTTTGGCACAACAGGGAAAGTTCTGATAAGCCTGACAGAGTACCCTGCGCAAGGTGCAGCTTTCCACTGTATTACTACTAGTCATACCTGTCAGTTCTACTGTACTACTACTAGTCATACCTGTCAGTTCTACTGTACTACTACTAGTCATAGCTGTCAGTTCTACTGTACTACTACTAGTCATAGCTGTCAGTTCTACTGTACTACTACTAGTCATACAGTAGCTGTCAGTTCTACTGTACTTCAGACTACTACTAGACCAACTTTAGGGTATGCCTGAAGTCCCACGATATTTCTTTCAGGGTTTGGTGGTAAATGGTTCGGGATCTTATGTGGTATTTTGTTGGAGATCCCACAGGATTTTGTTGTGATCTCAAAGGATAGTTCTGGGGATTTTGCAGGACTTTGCAGGATCCTGATTGTGTCTTGCATCATATATACATGTACGAGGCAGGAAATGTAAACATGCAGTGTGGTCCTGAACTCGGCCAAGCCTAGTTCAAATAGAACTGCATAGCATGGTGGCCATTAAATTTGTTACCTTCACCAAGGCCACACCAATTTAATTTCTTGGTTAACGGATTCGCCCGCTTCATTTTTTTCCGATTTGCAAATTAGAATGAAAATTCAGAATCAACTCCAAAATGATCATAATTATTTTGTCCTGAACAGCTAAAAACAGTCCTTTTCTTCCTAGTTGTTACAGTTATTCTACCTTTCAATGCAATGGTATCATTGAAAGTTCAAGATTTATTTTTTTAAATTTTGAACAAGCCTTTTGTGTTGACTTCATGGCTCCTATCGTACCATTTTGGGCCATAATAGGATGCCAAGGCCTGTTTTTATTTTAATTTTTTTTTCGCCTGCCCGCGCCATGAAATTAAATTGGTGTGGCCTTAGGGCTGTCATACTGTTACATCAGCAATCACAGTCATTACACAATCTACATGTACATGTACCTGACCTCATAAAACCTGACTTTGATTCTGATGCACGTTTTACCTTCACGCCTGGGAATAATGACTCCCATGATTAATGAATGCTTTCAGGGGATGTACACATTCTTACTTCAGTGTTCTGGGCATTATATTATTATTCTAGGAGGGCCTGCATGGGGGGTAGTGATTACGAATTACGCAAAATTTTCGCTGCCGATTACGAGTTACGTTAAAGTCTCAGAGCTGATTACGACTTTACGATATGCGGCTAATGTCCTATTAGGCTGCCTACAAATTACGAAGTCTAAAAAGGCCTGATTACACCTTACAAAAAAGGGCATGCACGCCCACATCTAGAAAATCTCTCTGGTGGACCTAACCAAGTAAAGTTAACAGGAGGGAGGCACTAATTTTGATGACTCATGCTTCACAAAATATGTAAACACAGTAAGATTAATATCACTGCAGGGCAATTGTTGCAGAGATCATAAAAGTACAGCAGCTAATGGATTCCTATGATGACATATGGGCCTGTGGGGATGTCAGTGTTCCAAATACACATTTGTATTGTACCTGTGTTTTGAGATTTTCAAGGTTGCAGGAAAAAATTATACAATCTGCAATTTTGCAGAAATTTTCAGCGTGCAAAATACTTGCTTGCCCAAATTTTACTTGGGGCAACCTATTTTTGAACCTACTAGCCCCAGTGTGCTACCTGAATTTTAAGAATGCCCCCCTCCCCCCAAATCATGCCCACTTGGCTTGCACCACTGTATCCGGCAGATGCTTTTTAATTTTAGGTATTAATGGCTATCACTAGTATCAGTTGACTAAAGGCTGTTAGAAATATTGTCAAAGGCTTATGTATGTAACATTACCTAATTTGAGGAAATTAGTAACTTATAGGTGGGACAACCTAAAATTCTGATGGGCAACCTAATTTTTGCCGTATGTTGTCAGTGGGCAACCTGGTTCAACCTATCTTTGTTCCAGTTGTATTTCAGTACAATTGCCCTGTCCTTGGTGCTGATTGGTCCTTTCTGTCTTTGTTCCAGTTGTATTTCAGTACAACTGTCCTGTCCTTGGTGCTGATTGGTCCTTTCTATCTTTGTTCCAGTTGTATTTCAGTACAACTGTCCTGTCCTTGGTGCTGATTGGTCCTTTCTGTCTTTGTTCCAGTTGTATTTCAGTACAACTGTCCTGTCCTTGGTGCTGATTGGTCCTTTCTATCTTTGTTCCAGTTGTATTTCAGTATAACTGTCCTGTCCTTGGTGCTGATTGGTCCTTTCTATCTTTGTTACCTTCACCAAGAAGGTTATGTTTTCAGTGGCGTTCGTGTATGTGTGTGTTTGCGTGTGTCTGTAAACACAATAACTTGAGAAGGCTTAAATGGATTGACTTGATATTTGGTACATGGGTAGGTCTTGATAAGACCTCAAAATTTTTAGATTTTGGACCCCCTAGCGGCTTGTTATGGTACTGCAGCTGAACTTCCGGTTTTGATATCTCGTGATCTAGACATGCTGGGGTGATGAAATTTGGATGGTAGGTAGCTCTTGTGCTGGGGAAGATGTGACGTAAGTTTGGGCCCCCTAGCGGCTTGCTCTAGAACTGCAGGGCTATATGATTGAAAATATTCAAAAGAGGATAACTCATGAACCGGTTGACGGATCGTGGTGATTTTTGGTATGTAGGTAGCTTGAGTAATGCTTGATATAATTATCTGACAGTTATGCAAATATGGATGTAATTTGCATAATTTATAGGGAAATTCTCTAAATCAGCTGCATTCCATTATCGGACTATTGAAGCTTGTGACATTGGTAATTGAGAACAAGAGAAACACAGGCAGAAATTGATTATGTAAATGAAGACTTAATTTGCATAATTAATTAGCAAATTTTATACGTATGTAACGATAATTGCCTGGAATTTCATACATGTAGTATTTGAAAGTTCAGCGAAGGTGAACATCATTAAACATAATGTATTCAAATCAGGACCTCATTTGCATAACTTATGAGGAAATGCTAGAATGGCATTGTTTGTTAATATAAGACTGTCTTTTTGGTTGAGAATATGATAAAATGATATGACTTATGAAAATGAGGATCCTATTTGTTAAATCAGGAGGGAATAATCTATAATTTGTCACTGATGTCAGTCATAAATATTAACATCATTTGGCGAAGATATGAGATCAGGGAACACTAGTTTAGTATGTATTTGTCTCATTGAGTTTTTAAGATGATCATAACATATAATTTTTTATACATGTTGTCAAATCAAACATTTTTGTCTTGTCCCCAGAATAAACCACCTGATAGGCGGGCTGGACCCTGCTGGCTTCCATGCTGTCAACATGCTGCTGCACACAGCTGTCACAGTGCTGTACATGTACGTGTGTGAGCAGGTGGTGTTCAGCTGTGTGCACCTGGCGCTGCTGGCTGGCCTCATGTTTGCTGTTCATCCTGTCCACACTGAAGCGGTCAGTACAGGCTTCCTGTCAGCAAAACATTCTTAGGCCTCACCAATTTAATTTCTTGGTTAACAGATTTTTATAGAAAAATTATGGAGTGGGCGGGTGAAAAAATAAAAAAAATGAAAACAGGCCTAGGCATCCTATTATGGCCCAAAATGTTACGATAGGAGCCATGAAGTCAACACAACAGGCTGGTTCAAAATTTAAACACTGAATTTTGAACTTTAAATGATACCACTGCATTGAAAGATGGAATAACTGTAACAACTAGGATGAAAAGGACTGTTTCTGGGCAAAATACATGTATTTTGCAGTTGATTCTGATTTTTTTTTTTTGCAAATCAGAAAAAAATGAAGGGGGCGAATCTGTTAACCAAAACATTAAATTGGTGTGGCCTTAGAGCTACAAGAAGAGTTTACTGCTTGCCAAGTTTTTAACATTTTTTTTTTAATTGTCTGAAGAAAAGTTGAATACTCGTGTACATGTACATAGTAAAAGAAAACAATAGTACATCTGTGTCTGTGTAGCTGATATGACCTCTCAGTGTAACACACCAGCATCGCAGGCATGCGGCACGGTGACAGCTGGCTATATTATACTGAAGGACTTGTTACACCTAGGCCTTTGCACATCTAACTTAAAGCATTGTTTAAAGCTATCTAGTGATGATGCCTGTACTGTTCTTGGTGGCAGCGAGCACTTTACAAGAGTTCTAGCAAAAGTGAGAGATTGTGTACAAAACAGGAGGAGTAGAAACAGATGAAAACCCTGGTCCCGAACCTATGACCTCCAGAGCACCAGCTTCAAACTCCGACAGTCACACTCCAACCACTCCGCTAAAAGGTCTAGACCCGTTGGCTGGGTCAGTTGGTAGCGCCTATAAACCCCCCACTGTTACACTACTCCCCCTTTTCTTTTCAAGATTCATCCTCGAATCTTCCAAATTCGATATCCCTGGAGCGGTACTCTTTGCCAGAACTCCCAGGGCCGGTGTGGGAACCACTGTAACTTGTAAGAAACAAGAGGAGCGAGTAGAAACAGATAAAAACCTCTAGTCCCGGGCTGGGGTTTGACCCCACGACCTCCTGAGCACCAGCTTCAAACTCTGACGCTCTAACCGCTCGGCTAAAAGGTCTAGACCCAGCGGCAGGGTAGTGTTTAAGTAGCGCCTATAAACCCCCCACTGTTACAATTGCACGCCTGATCCATGTATGTGTGTTTCAGGTGAGTGGTATTGTTGGTCGTGCTGATGTTCTGGCTGGGCTGTTATTCCTTCTGTCATTCCTGGCCTTCACAAGGTAAGACAATACTGGCACATCACAACTGTCATTATCATATTTAATTTGTCTACTCCTTAGGCCACATCAATTTAATTGGTTGTTTCTCAGATTTTTTCAGAAAAAATATGAAGTGACAGGGTGAAATAAATAAAAAAAACAGGCCAAGGCACCCCATGATAGCCGGAAATGTTAAAATATGAGCCATGAAGTGAACATACCAAGCTGGGTTATTTTTAAAACTTACAATAGATTTTGAACTTTTTTGCATTGTTACATTAAAAAACTTTTAAGAACTAGGAAGAAAATGACTTTCTTCAACCGTTGGGGCCAAAATATGTCTTTCATTGTGTGTTTGCTGTTAATTTAGAAGAAGAAATTTTTTTTTGCAAATCAGGAAAAAAATTGACAGGCCAATCTGAGAAGCAACAAATTGAATTGGTGTGGCCTTAGAGTAGGAAGAAGGAAAACATCTTTTTTTTAGAAAATTAACTTTGAAAATGGAGTTTGATTTGCTTTGTATGTATGTATGTTTCAGAAGTGTAGCTACAGTGTGTAGAAGTGTGGACTTCCCTGCTGTATGTTTCAGAAGTATGGCTACAGTTTGTAGAAGTGTGGACTTCCCTGCTGTATGTTTCAGAAGTGTAGCTACAGTGTGTAGAAGTGTGGACTTCCCTGCTGTATGTTTCAGAAGTGTGGCTACAGTGTGTAGAAGTGTGGACTTCCCTGCTGTATGTTTCAGAAGTGTAGCTACAGTGTGTAGAAGTTTGGACTTCCCTGCTGCATGTTTTAGAAGTATAGCTACAGTGTGTAGAAGTGTGGACTTCCCTGCTGTATGTTTCAGAAGTGTAGCTACAGTGTGTAGAAGTTTGGACTTCCCTGCTGTATGTTTCAGAAGTGTAGCTACAGTGTGTAGAAGTGTGGACTTCCCTGCTGTATGTTTCAGAAGTGTAGCTACAGTGTGT